GTTGTCCTTAAGCCATTTTGCCACACCTTTGGAAGTATGCTTGGGGTCACTGTCCATTTGGAAGACCCATTTGCGACCAAGCTTTAACTTCCTGACTGATGTTTTGAGATGTTGCTTCAATATATCCACATAATTTTCCTTCATCATGATGCCATCTATTTTGTGAAGTGTACCAGTCCCTCCTGCAGCAAAGCACCCACACAGCATGATGCTGCCACCCCCGTGCTTCACGGTTGGGATGGTGTTCTTCGGCTTGCAAGCATCCCCTTTTTCCTCCAAACATAACAATGGTCATTATGGCCAAACAGTTCTATTTTTGTTTCATCAGACCAGAGGACATTTCTCAAAAAAGTAAGATCTTTGTCCCCATGTGCAGTTGCAAACCGTAGTCTGGCTTTTTTATGGCGGTTTTGGAGCAGTGGCTTCTTCCTTGCTGAGCGGCCTTTCAGGTTATGTCGATATAGGACTCATTTTACTGTGGATATAGATGCTTTTGTACCTGTTTCCTCCAGCATCTTCACAAGGACCTTTGCTGTTGTTCTGGGATTGATTTGCACTTTTTGCACCAAAGTACGTTAATCTCTAGGAGACAGAACGTGTCTCCTTCCTGAACGGTATGAGGGCTGCGTGGTCCCATGGTGTTTATACTTGCGTACTATTGTTTATACAGATGAACGTGGTACCTTCATGCGTTTGGAAATTGCTCCCAAGGATGAACCAGACTTGTGGAGGTCTACACATTTTTTTCTGAGGTCTTGGCTGATTTCTTTTGATTTTCCCATGATGTCAAGCAAAGAGGCACTGAGTTTGAAGGTAGGCCTTGAAATACATCCACATGTACACCTTCAAGCCATGACATCATTTTCTGGAATTTTCCAAGCTGTTTAAAGGCACAGTCAACTTAGTGTATGTAAACTTCTGACCCACTGGAATTGTGATACAGTGAATTATAAGTGAAATAATCGGTCTGTAAACAATTGTTGGAAAAATTACTTGTGTCATGCACAAAGTAGATGTGCTAACCGACTTGCCAAAACTATAGTTTGTTAACAAGAAATGTGTGGAGTTTAACACTTTTTTGGTTACTACATGATTCCATGTGTGTTATTTCATAGTTTTTATGTCTTCACTATTATTCCACAATGTAAAAAATAGCAAAAATAAAGAAAAACCCTTAAATGAGTAGGTGTGTCCAAACTTTTGACTGTTAGTGTAATTATCTATGATAATCCTGACTGTAATCTCCCTCCCTGCCACTAGGGGGCAGTAAAGGCTGTGGCAGAGGAAGGTATAGTAATAAACTGCTGTAACACTAACAAACCCATCACGTCATCAACGACACCCCTCGTAGTAATTTAGGATCTGCTTACCTATTTGAATAAAATATTTACATGTGTTAAATTCAGGGTATTGAGGAGTGGTTTGGGAAGTTTAGGAGGGCTACCACCTGTTCAAACATATAGTCTTAGTACAAGATGGCACTACATTGGACCAGCGCCCTATGGGGAACAGCATGCCATCTGAGACGCAGACTTAGTCCGATGCCTCTACCCTTCATCTCTTGACCTCTTGCAGGCAGGAGTGATGCTACTCTTTCCTACGGATCTGTAGAGATGCGACACCAGACATCATTCTGCAAAACCAAGACTGCAGACAAGACCAAAGACGACGACTTGATCTTTCAAAGTCATCGACACACAATCACTTTTTCCTACGTAGGTGGGAGGGAGCAAAGAGCGAGAGACAGAAGAGCAAAGTGATCAGGTGGTGTGTGTGTGTGTGTGTGTGTGTGTGTGTGTGTGTGTGTGTGTGTGTGTGCAGATGAGTGCTGTGACATTTTGTCTTCCTGCAGCAACCCACGCTAGCTATCAATCTAAAGAGCACAGATTGAGCTGGCGACGGACAGCTGGACACAGACCACACACAGCCTCATAACACACATCCTTACATTCAGATATCATCTCTGTAACACACACACACACACAATTTCCACCGACTCCCATGGAAGACGTATAGCGTTTCCACCGACTCCCATGGAAGACGTATAGCGTTTCCACCGACTCCCATGGAAGACGTATAGCGTTTCCACCGACTCCCATGGAAGACGTATAGCGTTTCCACCGACTCCCATGGAAGACGTATAGCGTTTCCACCGACTCCCATGGAAGACGTATAGCGTTTCCACCGACTCCCATGGAAGACGTATAGCGTTTCCACCGACTCCCATGGAAGACGTATAGCGTTTCCACCGACTCCCATGGAAGACGTATAGCGTTTCCACCGACTCCCATGGAAGACGTATAGCGTTTCCACCGACTCCCATGGAAGACGTATAGCGTTTCCACCGACTCCCATGGAAGATGTGTATCATTTCTAAAACCTGTTGCTATTATGATCGCCATGACAGAAACCTGACTGACGTGTTGTTTATATCCCTGAGGGACCATCACTCAGCTAACTACCCCTGAGGGACCATCACTCAGCTAACTACCCCTGAGGGACCATCACTCAGCTAACTACCCCTGAGGGACCATCACTCAGCTAACTACCCCTGAGGGACCATCACTCAGCTAACTACCCCTGAGGGACCATCACTCAGCTAACTACCCCTGAGGGACCATCACTCAGCTAACTACCCCTGAGGGACCATCACTCAGCTAACTACCCCTGAGGGACCATCACTCAGCTATCTACCCCTGAGGGACCATCACTCAGCTAACTACCCCTGAGGGACCATCACTCAGCTAACTACCCCTGAGGGACCATCACTCAGCTAACTATCCCTGAGGGACCATCACTCAGCTAACTACCCCTGAGGGACCATCACTCAGCTAACTACCCCTGAGGGACCATCACTCAGCTAACTACCCCTGAGGGACCATCACTCAGCTAACTACCCCTGAGGGACCATCACTCAGCTAACTACCCCTGAGGGACCATCACTCAGCTAACTACCCCTGCCCTGAGGGACCATCACTCAGCTAACTACCCCTGAGGGACCATCACTCAGCTAACTACCCCTGAGGGACCATCACTCAGCTAACTGTCATATCTTTACCTCAACCTGATAGAAATCATGGAACAGGGAAAACAGATGTGACATGGAAGACACAAGACTAACTGGTTAAGGGGAAAGTACAGACGGTCAGCTTTTAGCTTCTGGCGAAAAATCACTTTAGACCGAAATATTGGTAAATAGATCCATTAAATTGTTGGAAGCATCAAGATGTGATGGAGTTTATTTTGATTTTAGTACACGTTCTCTCCATGCACCTGGTGGCATGTAAGGTGTGACAGTTTACTTTCGAATACTTCAAAAGGTGGTTTAAGGTGGTTTTTTGTAAATAGTGGTGAAGTATGTAGCTAGTGGGAATTAAAGGGTAGAAATCCTGGTAACAGACCAGTTTCCCAGTGTGAGCTTAAAAGCTTAAACAAGTCAATTATTCTGATGGACAAAAGGCAGTCAGTTTAACACATTCAGTTTTTTTGTTTTTATTTAATTAGTGCTTTCATGTCATAATTAAGATCATTCTCTTAAAATACCTTGTTACCTTGTATTTAGCAAACCATTAAAGCTATTAGTCTGTGTGTGACTGTGTGTGGGTGTGTGTGTGTTCAGACGTGGGAAAAACTCCAGGTGTCCTCTAAACTCAAATATCTCCCCCTCCAAACACACACACACACGGTGGTGAACCAGAACAATGGTTAAGGTGATCCATATTTCCAACAGCAGCTGCACACCTGCAGACACACAAACCTCAATTGTTTCTTTCTTTCCTTCCTTCGAAAAATGAAGGGATTTCTCATCTTTCTAGAAAAGAGCCACTGCTAAAAAAGAGAGATTCACCTTAAAAAAAAAAGATGACAGAATCATACAAAATCCAATAAAAAGCCATCAGACTCAAATCTATAAAAATAAAAAAGATATGTACAAAAAATCTTGGTAACACTTTATTTGGATAGTCTGTAGACCATCTACAGACTATCAGTAACATGTCAACTATCTACTAATCCTAACCCTTATTCTAAACCTAACCCTTATTCTAATCCTAACCCTTATTCTAACCCTAACCCTTATTCTAATCCTAATCCTGAACCTATCAATCCGAACCCACCTAACCAATCCTAGCAACCCTTAACCCGAGCAACGCTGGAACCCTATGCTGAAGCCTAACCCTGGTAGGTCACCTAACCGAGCGATAATCCGAACCCGATTCAATCCTAACCCGTTATTCTAATCCTAACCAGCTGTAGGTCTAATCCTAACCCTTGGAGCGAAGCCTAACCCTTATTCAATCCTAACCCGAGTCTAACATACAGGACTAACCTTATTCTAATCCTAACCCGTATTGCTAAGCCTAACCCTAGTTCTAATCCTAACCCTTATGTCTAACCCTAACCGACTATACAATCCTATCCTAACCCTTATTCTAACCTAACCCTTATTCTAATCCTAACCCTTATTCTAATCCTAACCCTTATTCCAATCCTAACCCTTATTCTAACCCTAACCCTTATTCTAATCCTAATCCTAACCCTTATTCTAACCCTAACCCTTATTCTAATCCTAATCCTAACCTTAGCAAGCAGTTGCTTATCAACAGATAAATTTGTTGATAGCATGACCACCTACAGATGGACTAATTGGACTATCCAAATAAAGTGTGAGCAAAATCTTAACTAGCCTACAGTAGGAAAAACGCTTTTAACATTTCTCAATACAATTCTCAGATGACTTTCAAACAGCCGTTTTTAAAATTCACTTTCTTTTCTAAACCTCCAACCGCCATGTTGTTGTTCTTCAATCCATGGCTCCCCATTCCCTATATAGTGCCCTGTGTTTGACCAGAGAATGGCGCCCCATTCCCTATATAGTGCACTGTGTTTGACCAGAGACAAAAGTAGTGCACTAAATAGGGAATAGGGAGCCATTTGGGACGCACTTCTTGGTTGGCCTGCGAGATAGCCTAGCGACAGATAGTCCACTTCCTTAGCGACCTTTACTCGCGGGTGAAGGCCTTCTTCTGATTCGCTCGTACGACGTCGTCGGGGGAGGGTGTGTCGAAGGTGAACGGGGTTATGGGTAAGAGAGGCGTCTGTTCTTTAGCTTTGACCAGCTGGGTCTGTGTTCCGTACAGAAACGCAGGGTGACCCCCTCCTCTGACCTCTAACCTCTGACCTCCCACAGCCTTCACCATCATCATCCTCCTCCTCCTCTTCTTCCCCCTGCTGGGCGCACGCACCGACAGAGTCAGGGCGAAGACGGACGGTGGAGCGAACACAGAGGAACCGTGGCGGTCGGACCGCATGGCGACCGTGGACGGCGAGGAGAGGCCGTTGTCACGGCGACGCGCGGACAAAACTCCACCGTGGGACGACTGGGCCATGAGCGCGCTTAGATCAACACTCTGACCTCCCCATGGTGGGAGGGGGCTCAGGGGAGCGGGTGGCAAAAGGGGGCGGGGTTTGTCTCTGACTCCACCCTCTTGGATACTTCCTGCCGATACCATGGCAACCTGTGGTTTCCCCGGCGACAGGAGTGCGGCGAGGGAGAGTGGTGGTGGGGTGTTGGAGGACGTTCTGGTGTGGTGCTGAGAGGCTAGTGGAGAGAGCGCCCCCACTGAAGGAGGTACTGCCTCTGCCTGCCGTCTGTCTGGGTCTGCTGCCGGCACCGTGCTTACTGGTTGGGGGAGCGTGTGGCCGGCCTGACGGCGCGAGGCCGACTGAGACAGAGACAGGGCGGGACGTTCTGGTGTTGTAGTGACCTGGGGCTGGGGGGAAGAGTGTGTGTGCGGACTGCAGAATGAGAGTGTGTGTGTGTCCAGAGGTCCTGGGGGCTGCTTGCGCTGGGACAGGCAGCGTGTGAGAGCTGGTCCGGCGGCGGTCTGAGATGTGTTGACGTGGGCAACAGGGATTGAGCTGTTGCTTTGGAGACCGGGGAGGGATCTGTAGAGGGTGGGGCTGCTGTTGGAATGTTCCTGGATCAGCTCAGCCAATGACGGGCTTCCTTTGGGATCCGCCCCCTTAGCCCCTCCCCCAGCCCCTATCTCCATTGGTCGGCTGCTCTGGAGGACGGACCTCAGGCTGCCGAAGGAGGGAGGGGCCAGATTGGCGCCCAGAGCTGTCAGTTTGGGGTTGCCTAAGGACAAGCTGCCCAAAGAGGAGACAAGGTGGCCGGGGGGAGGGGCTACGATGCAGGGCGCAGTAGCAAGGGGGGCGGAGTTTAACAACGCTAGAGTGCCCAATGAGAGGCCGGAGAGAGCAGCCAGTGGAGATGAGGACAGTGAGGGGACACCAGAACCCTGACTCCTCTGCTCATGCTCAGACATCAGCTGGGCTAGGCTGCTGCTGCTCCCTGACCCGGCAACTGTTGCCAAGGGCCTTGCGGAACTGCTGTTCAGAGACGAAACACCTTGAGGAGCGGAGAGGTCGTGGGTGTCATGACAGCGACCTTTCACAGGCCGAGCTAGGAGGTCACTAAGGTTCAGAGGATCGGCAGATGGACGTATAGCTGGTGTGTGTGTTGGTGTGGGTACGTTGTCAGAGTGAGAGTCGGACAGGCAGGCTCCTTACCTTGCGAAGAGTGGAGAGAGGAGGGGAGGATGATGGGGTGAGTGGGTCAGGACATAAGAGAGAGAGAGAGAAAGGGAATGAAAAACATTTCATTACAATGTGTTCAGAGTGAAGAAGCTGGAGGAGAATATTGGTGCATTTCTTTAACGAGAACTTTTACAGTCTTCATCAACAATTACATCCCTGTGTCATTTACGCTAAGGGTCTAATCCGAATTTACAAAACACAATAAATAAGTAAGCCAAAGGGTGATCATCATTCATCCCTGCTGCTGGGGTCCAGGCATACCTTTCTCTGGTCGTGGGGTGGCTGATGCCTCCTGATTGGATCTCGGTGCCGCTGCCATCTCCTTATTGGCTCTCTGGGGCTGTGGTGCGTCCCGATGGGTCTTAGCGGACGTGGACGGTGCACCGGTGCTCTCGTCTGATAGGATGGTGTCCAGGGCTCTCTGGGGTTCGAAGGCGCACTGCAAGGCAGCCTGGGTAAGGACAGACTCTGGCACTGTGTCACCCAGCACCGCACGCATCTGGTCCAGACATGAGTACAGCTTGCCTGTGGAGACACACACAGACATTTTAAGTATTACATTACAGTCAAGAAGGATTCAAACATATTAAAATGTCAATTGGACACTCAGGGATACAAAAAGCTTCAAAAACAAACACCTCACAAGAAACACACACACAAAGACATGCACAAACACACAGGGTTAGCTCTCTCTGTGTGTGTGTGTGTGTGTGTACCTTGGTCTAGGAAGAGAAGAACCAAGATCAAAATCTGTCTGCGTGAGAAAAGCCCTTTTTAGCACTGAGGTCTATGAGAGAGTGTCGAATTACGTGAGGCTTATTTGATCGAATAGAAGTTTCATAATATTTCTGCTGTTACCAATGTACTGATATAAGGGGATGCACGAGGCATTCCGGCAACTTTGAGAAAAAACAACTTAGTTGTGCCCTGTTGTTCACTTACGTAACTGCTCTCTCATTGGCTAGAATGGTCCCACCTGATCTCGCCTGCCTTCAAATCATTAGAGGACATGCATCTCCATTGTTAGCGCGGTCACTCGGTTATCTTAGAGCGGGTCACTCGGTTATCTTAGAGCGGGTCACTCGGTTATCTTGTCAATATCCTAGATTATATTTAGTTTAGATCAGGGGGGTGTCAGGCTCATTCCGTGCAGGACCTAGTGTCTGATGGTTTGGGATTTTCCTTTCAATTAAGACAACAAGAGGGGAGTTTCCTTACTAATTAGTGATCTTAATTAATCAATCAAGTACAAGGGAGGAGCACAAACCCACAGACCCTCTACCTTCAGTGGAATGAGTTTAACAGGGGGTTGAGGTTGTGTGTGAGGGGATGTGGGGGAGGTAGGGTGGGTGGGGGGAGGGTTTAGAGGTTAGGGTACCTCGGTATAGGGGCTACAAAAAATCTGAACTCATAATGACGCTTTAGAGTTAATTTTGTGCGGTTCTACACATTTTACCACGGGGCGTATAGAAAATGTTGGCAGTTTAAAAGCATGTTTGCGGCAATTCCACACATTTTGCTACGGGCTGAGATTTCGCCGTAGGGCGGAGAGAAATATTTGGAGTTTTTTAATATGATATCTGAGTGAGACAAACAAAATCAAAATGGTGGCCCACCGGCCGGGAATTCAACCCATGATTACTACGTTTAAATAGCCGGCCGCTAGACTAATTTACCAATCTAAAAAAACGTTCGCTCACACGGGCTAATTGAGTGATTATCCGTGACTGACACAATACAAACTGCTGATGCACAAACACATTGAAAAATTGCACCTTGTGTATTCTACTATTCAGTAAATTGAGACCCCGACTGAGTTGTTGATCATTGCTAAACAAACATTTTCAAGTCTTGCTAGGGCTGTGGGGGTGACCGTATTACCGCCACAACGGTGGTCACGAGTCATGAAGGCAGTCAAATTCCACATGACCGTTTAGTCACGGTAACTAGGCTACTCCAAGCTCTGATGCTGCTGCTGGTCATTAGTAACCTAGCAACCTTGCTAACTGCCTGGTACTCAGCACTCTATTGTCCCTCTAATCTGATGTCAATGCAAATGTATTCGAAAATCTAATCAAACACATTTACATCACTTAGCAGACGCTCTTATCCAGAGCGACTTACAAATTGGTGCATTCAACTTATGATAGCCAGTGGGATAACCACTTTCTTTTTCTTTTTTTTATGGGGGGGGGGGGGGGGGGGGGAGTCCATGAGCACATGTTGCGCAACATTTCTATAGGCTATGCAAATGCCTGAGAAAACAGAGTGATGGCCTCTATTAAAAAGAGGAGGATCCCATCAGCTTTCTAAAGGCTAGGTCTACCATATTTATTTCTCATCTTTCCTAATATTAAGCACATTGCTTCTCTTTGAAACAGGAGTATAGCCTACCTGGCTGGCATGAAAATTAACCACTGGTATTTTTTCCCCTCTGTCCCAAGATAGTTGCATGATAATGGTCCATAATAAATCAAAACAAATTTCATACATATATTATTTAGTATATGTATTAAGACAAGACTAAATCAAGAATAGTGTGATGGGTGACAGTATTAGCCTATCACTTGTGAATTATATATTATCACTACTTTTTCGAATCATAGTCGCACACCTCATGTAGCCTAGCCCATAGGCCTATACAGTGGGGGGGAAAAAGTATTTAGTCAGCCACCAATTGTGCAAGTTCTCCCACTTAAAAAGATGAGAGAGGCCTGTAATTTTCATCATAGGTACACGTCAACTATGACAGACAAATTGAGAATTTTTTTTCCAGAAAATCACATTGTAGGATTTTTAATGAATTTATTTGCAAATTATGGTGGAAAATAAGTATTTGGTCAATAACAAAAGTTTCTCAATACTTTGTTATATACCCTTTGTTGGCAATGACACAGGTCAAACGTTTTCTGTAAGTCTTCACAAGGTTTTCACACACTGTTGCTGGTATTTTGGCTCATTCCTCCATGCAGATCTCCTCTAGAGCAGTGATGTTTTGGGGCTGTCGCTGGGCAACACGGACTTTGAACTCCCTCCAAAGATTTTCTATGGGGTTGAGATCTGGAGACTGGCTAGGCCACTCCAGGACCTTGAAATTCTTCTTACGAAGCCACTCCTTCGTTGCCCGGGCGGTGTGTTTGGGATCATTGTCATGCTGAAAGACCCAGCCACGTTTCATCTTCAATGCCCTTGCTGATGGAAGGAGGTTTTCACTCAAAATCTCACGATACATGGCCCCATTCATTCTTTCCTTTACACGGATCAGTCGTCCTGGTCCCTTTGCAGAAAAACAGCCCCAAAGCATGATGTTTCCACCCCCATGCTTCACAGTAGGTATGGTGTTCTTTGGATGCAACTCAGCATTCTTTGTCCTCCAAACACGACGAGTTGAGTTTTTACCAAAAAGTTATATTTTGGTTTCATCTGACCAAGTTGGATGGGGAGCGTTGATGCACAGCTATTTTCAGGTCTCTCCAGAGATGTTCGATCTGGTTCAAGTCCGGGATCTGGCTGGACCACTCAAGGACATTCAAAGACTTGTCCCGAAGCCACTCCTGCGTTGTCTTGTCCGTGTGCTTAGGATCACTGTCCTGTCGGAAGGTGAACCATCGCCTCAGTCTGAGGTCCTGAGCGCTCTGGAGCAGGTTTTCATCAAGGATCTCTCTGTACTTTGCGCCGTTTCTCTGTCGCTGAAAAACATCCCCACAGCATGATGCTGCCACCACCATGCTTCACCGTAGGGATGGTGCCAGGTTTCCTCCAGACGTGACGCTTGGCATTCAGGCCAAAGAGTTCAATCTTGGTTTCATCAGATTAGAGAATCTTGGTCTGAGAGTTCTTTAGGTGCCTTTTGGCAAACACCAAGTGGGCTGTCATGTGCCTTTTACTGAGGAGTGGCTTCCGTCTGGCCACTCTACCATAAAGGCCTGATTGGTGGAGTGCTGCAGAGATGGTTGTCCTTCTGGAAGGTTTTCCCATCTCCACAGAGCCACTGACCATCGGGTTCTTGGTCACCTCCCTGACCAAGGACCTTCTCCCCAGATACTCAGTTTGGCCGGGCGGCCAGCTCTAGGAAGACACTTGGTGGTTCCAAACTTCTTCCATTTAAGAATGATGGAGGCCACTGTGTTCTTGGGGACCTTCAATGCTGCAGAAATGTTTTGGTACCCTTCCCCAGATCTGTGCCTCGACACAATCCTGTCTCTGAGCTCTACGGACAATTCCTTTGACCTCATGGCTTGGTTTTTGCTCTGACATGCACTGTCAACTGTGGGACCTATATATAGACAGGTGTGTGCCTTTCCAAATCATGTCCAATCAATTGAATTTACCACAGGTGTACTCCAATCAAGTTGTACAAACATCTCAAGGTTGATCAATGGAAACAGGATACACCTGAGCTCAATTTCGAGTCTCAATGCAAAGGGTCTGAATTCTTATGTAAATAAGGTATTTCTGTTTTGTATTTGTAATACATTTGCTAACATTTCTAAAAACCTGTTGATGCTCTGTCATTATGGGGTATCGTGTGCAGATTGATGAGGACTTTTTACTTATTTAATTTTAGAATACGGCTGTAACGTAACAAAATGTAGAAAAAGTGAAGGGGTCTGAATACCGAATGCACTGTACGCGCAAATATTTATATAACAACCATCATATCGTGGTAAACTTGGAGTCACGCGATGACGTTGTGTGGTCCTCCCACTACGACACGTCGGGAAACCATGCAGTTTATTAGTAGGCTACAGATGAAATAAGTTATGAAAACTTAAACGTAAAATAGCATTTTATAGGTATATGATGACACTGCTAATTGATCATTGGTTTTACTACTTGTGAGGCACAGCTGATTGAGTAGAATAATGGCCTGCATCTGATGGTCAGTCTGAGGGGAGGGAGGGAACAGTGGTGAGACAGCCTCTCACCCGACTCACCGTCCCTCCCTCTGCTGAAAAAAGGGGACGGTCTTTCAGCTGATGGCAAAAACTTAAGTCGCACTGCATTACTTCTGCCTCAAGCACCAATTCATGATGTTACTCATATGACCGGAGAAAGTGAAATATTCCTCAATATTAAAAATGACAAGCCGCATATATTAACAATGCAAGCTTATCGAAAACGGGCATTTTATGGCTTATAACACTGTTGAACAAAGTGTTGACAGTGTTGAATAAAAACTTAAACAAGAACTTACTCATAATAACAGCAGCTCTTTGCTGTATTCGTTGAGTCTCTCTATAGTCATGGTTTTTAAAGTTTTCAAATCTCACATTACCAATTTTGCTGTGTGTTTGAGGCTTATTTTTAAAGTCTATGGCGCGAGAAAACTGTGCAGACACGGTTGATCTGAGCTATCTGATTGGCCAGCGGTAGGCCTATAGGTGCACTTGATTTGCTCTCCGGGCCTGCCGGGTAGGCAGAGTTCAACCGTCAGACACATGAAATGGTTAAACATGGGAACACTTTTGGCTTTCCGGCGCCAGGGCTGCTGAATCAAGTGCACCTACCGTCAACCGCGCCAAACAAAAAATTTAAATAAATAAA